GAAGTAATCATTTAGTAGGAGGTTTAATTTCCACGTTTTTGTGTAGAAATGTGAGTTTCTGTTAGGGTTGATTTCTACTTTTATTCCACAGTGATCTGAGAACATACATGGTATGATTTCTTTTTTTTTTTTAATTTCTTAGGATTTACTTTGTGTCCTAGGATATGGTCAGTCTTAGAGAATGTCCTGTGAGCTGATGAGAAGAACGTATATTTAGTGGATTTTGGGTAGAATGTCCTGTAAATGTCAGTCAGACCCAATTGTTCTAGAGTTTTGTTAAAGTCCATTATTTCTTTATTAATTTTCTGTTTGGAGGATCTGTCTCATACTATCAGTGGGGTCTTGAAATATCTGGTAATTATGGAGTTGCTATTATTCCATTTGCTTAGATCCAGTAAAGTTTGCTTTATGAATCTGGGTGCACCTAAGTTGGGTGCATCTATATTTAAAATTGTTATCTCTTCTTGTTGAACTGTGCCCTTCACCATTATATAATGACCCTCTTTGTCTTTCACTACTTTTGTTGGTTTAAAATCTAAATCATCTGAAATTAGAACTGCCACGCCAGCCTTCTTTTGTCTTCCACTTGCTTGGAATATTCATCTCCACTCTTTTACTTTTAGTCTATATGCATCCTTGTAGGTTAGATGTGTTTCCTGAAGACAGCATATACTTCGCCTGTATTTTCTTATCCAGCCAGCCAGCCTATATCTCTTGAGTGGAGAGTTTATGCCATTCACATTTATTGAGAGAACTGATAGATAAGGTAGATTACTGTTTATTGTGTTGGGTTGTATGTTGTTGTTTTTTTTCTCTCTTGAGCCATTGTAATATCTGACCTTTAATCTTTCGGTTTTGGTTGTTTTTATATTCGTGAGTTTTTATTATGGTGTTCCGTGCATAACACTGTTTTGAGTACTTCTTGTAGGGCTGGTCTTGTCTTGGGGAATTCGCTGAAACTTTGCTTATCTGAGAATGTCTTTATTTCTCCTTCATATATGAAGCTTAGTTTGCATGGTACAATATTCTAGCCTGGGCGTTGTTTTGTTTTATAAGAGTGACAGTGCGTCCCCATTCCCTCCTTGTGAGTATTGTTTCAGTTGAGAAATCTGGGGTTATTCGGATCGGTTTTCCTTTATTTGTAACTTCCTTCCTGTTCCTAACAGCTTGTAGGTGTATTTCTTTTGTTTATATTTTGGTCAATCTGATGACTACATGGCGTGGTTTTTTCCTGTTTGATTGTGTCTCCCAGGAGTCTTTTGGCCTCTTGTATTTCTAATTCTAGGTTACTGGTTAGACCTGGGAAGTTGTCCTCAATTATTTCTTCAAAAAGCTTATCTAACCCTTGGGTTTTTTTTTCCTCCTTCTCTGGAATCCAGTGGGCCTGCCGGTTATTTTTCTTCGTATTTTCCCACAATTCTTGTAAGCTTTGCTCATGTCTCTTATTTTTCTGCTCTAACTTTGTAATTAACTTATTTGATTTGAATGAGTTGTCTTCCAGTTCTGAGATTCTTTCTTCTGTTTAGTCCACCCTATTTTTGAGGCTTTCCACTGTGTTTTGAATTTCCCTGAATACATTCTTCATATCAAGGATGTCTGATTGATTCTTCTTCAAGATGTCGATCTCCTTAGTGAATCTTTCTTCCATTTCTTGTATCTTCTTTGTAGTTTCTTTGTGTTGGTTATCCATTTTTTCTTGCATTTCATTGAGTTTTTTTACAATCCAATTTTGGAATTCTTCTGACATTTTAGTGTTTTAGGTTTGTTCAGACTCCATTTCTTGAGAGCTGGTGTTTCTCCTAGAGGGAGTATTTTCTGCTTGATTTTTTGAATTGCGTTGGGCCCTCCCCATCTGGGTCAATTGCTAGAGCTCAGTTGTCTACTTTTTGTATTTTCTTGATCAGCCACTGGGGGAGCTCTTCCACCACACTTGGAAGGTTCCCCTGACAGGGGTAGCTTTTGGGGAAAGTGGGTTTTCTTGTCTCGTCCCGCCTCCAGGGGTGGGGCCAACCACTTTTAGCGAGACAGCTGC